CATTATCTAAAATGGACTTTAATTGTGCAGAAGGCAGGCAAGAGGTAAAGTTGACAACGGTACCTCAAAAAGTCAGAGACAGTGAAGATGCAGCCTGCAGCTGTAAGAGTCTGGCCTTCCCTCAGCCTGACTGTAACATGAAAGCAGAGGGTCTTGTGCCTGACTACAAGGTGCTTCCATTAAGTTGATCATGACAGGGCTCCCACGGGTCTTACAAACCAATAACTGGCTCTGCATAGAGTCTTCCTACTGCAGGTGCAGCTACAGATTCCTAAAGCACTAACAAGATGACAACAAAGGTGTTCCTGTCACTAGTCCACCATGTAACATTTTCACCAGACAGTAGAAAGCATTTGGGTCTTCCAAAATCATTATCCTAATAGCTGCGAACTGAACCCCTTTCTGCTTTATGTGACCAGCTATAAAGGGTCTGGAGTCTCCTTCTTGAAGACATTCAAATCCCACTTGGACACATTCCTGTGTAACCTGCTCAGGGTGTATCTGCCTTGACAGCGAGGTCAGACTAGATGATCTCGAGAGGTCTCTTTCACCCCTAATGATTCTGTATAGTACTTTTGAAGAGTGTGGTCACACTTACCTAAGCATCAGTCTGCCTCTTGATACACACTCCCAGCCTGGTCTTAATTTCCTAGCCTAAACAACACGCATATCACTGCCAAGTGGCACTTACTATCATGGTGACACACAAGTTGAGTTTATAAAGGTTCTTAGAATTCAGTTTGAGGCCTGATTCCAGCTTCCCTTTACTTTGGGTAATCATCTGAAGCTACACAAAGAGGATATGAAAATGACCATTTCAGAGAAGCACCATTTTATACTCACCTTGCAGGGTTTTAGGTGCCTTCACAAAGATGAGGTAGCAGCTCAGGTACTCTCTTTCTTTTGGTCAACTGAACACAGGTTTTCAGTATCCTCAGAAGAAACTCTTCCTCCTTACAGTTATATTGCAGGAGACAATCAAACTTGTCATTTAGGGACCATGTAATTACTTTCTGTGCAGACATCCCATACATGAGAATCAGCACAGGTTGCCCTAACAGGTGGGAGCCTGCATAAGTGAGAGCCTGTTCCAATGCAGAGGCCATATAATGACAGTGATGTCTCAGGGAAAGAGATGCTGCTAATTGCAGCAATTAAACAGTAATGATATAATTAATGCAAAAATTATGCATGGCTTAAATCCAAGCTATTGGAGTGCATGAGGTATTCATCATGCCTAGATGAAAATCATTCCTGTTGAGACGATATCAAATCCGCTTTATGACTTGATCATGGGTAATGGTTACAGGTGATTCAGGGAACAGTGACAGATTGTGTTCAGCAGAAGAAGCAGCTGATGGTAACAGCAATGAAACACAAAAGGACTTTAAATTTGACTGGGCAAATCGAACACTGAAGGTGAAGCTATCTGAAAGTCTTGCTATAGCAGGACCATTCAGATCCATGCCCTAGACCAACAGCAGGTATTATGCCCCATATAGACAGGGGCAGTGTCTGGCTTCAGTTCCCAATAAATTCAAATAGACATTTTAGTATGTCCCCTTCCAAATGCATGACAAGGAACAGCACCAGAAAAGTCAACTGGTTCACTTTACTTTTCACAAAGCAACTTCACCAAAGCAACCTTTGGTGAAGAGCAGTTTTAAAGAACAGCATTAAATCTGTATAGCTACATGTCACAGCTCCAGTCTAGTGTATTCACAAATCCTTAATATGAGAAATGAAGGCAATTAATTGAAAGTGAAACTATGGACTTTAAAGAAATGTGTATAATATTGCTTAAACTTCAGAAATTGGGTATTCCCAGAGAGCTGTTAAAAAAAGGTAAAAGTGAATAGCAGTCAGTCTGCTCTGTTTGCTCCATGCCTGCCCCACCTCTCGGCTCATTCTGCACTTTGGCTTCTGAATTCTGAAAATCCACTTTGCCATATCTCAAAGAATCTCCCATCAGGACCATTAGGTTGAAAATATAGCCGAGGCGGCTCATAAATCACAAAGGGAAGATTTGCTTTGCCATATTCAAAGCCAGCTGTGGCAGCCCACAAATGTCAACAGTCACATCGGTCAGGTGCCCGTGCCCAGTGACTTTCCCACAGTGTGAGGTGTCCCTGCCCATGGCACGGGGGTTGGAACTAGATGATCTTAAGGTCCTTTCCAACCCTAACTATTCTATGGTTCTATGGTTAGACCAAAGACTATTGCTGTGATTACCATTTGGTTGTGCAGCAATAGCAGAACTGTGAAATGCTTAGAGCAGTTTGGTTGAGAGCATTGTATCTTTGTTGTCCTGCAGAAATGCTTTGGATTTGCAAAGTTGGACTGAAAACATGGCCAGCACCAAGCCTTTCCCACAAATCTGGCTTGAAATATTACTACATTAAGTGTTAGTTTACAGGAACTATATTATTTATGCTTCCATATTGGGTAGCTTAATGTAGCGATAAATAAAACCAGAGTGTTTGCTGTATATTACCATACATTTTAACTGATCAGTCTTCCTATGGACAAGGACATTGGTCTCGAGGAAAAGAGAAGGACTCTAAGCAATCTCTAGGCTGAAAAATACACAGTTCATATTAGAAAGCAGCCTAGCTGCTAGCACAAACTTTTCATGTGTATTTTGTTTTTGTATCATGGTCCACATGTAATCATATTTAACCAACACCTCAGTGGGGAACCCAGAATCCTCTCTGGTTTCTACCCAAGTCACTGGGGTGAAGTCAGTAGGGAGTTCTGAAAGTCAAAACTAACGTGTACAGCTTTGTCCTCCAGTAGCTTTAAACACTTCAGTTTATTTGCTTCCAGCTAAACCTAGAAAGCCCTGAGGTCCACTAAAGTGGACACAGTATTTGTGTTCATACAAGCATACAATATATTGGCCATTTGGCTTTATGAAGATACCTTGTTTGGTGTCTAAAGAGGAGTAATAGCTTTCCATTTAGACTGTGGAATCTACTGTTTAATAATAAATACACTCCTGACATTGTTAAATGATAGCCTGCTTCTAATAAACCCCCTGCTGATCCGTGTGGTGGTTAGAGTGGGTAATTCATCTTCCTGGGCTGTTAAAACTTTAGCTGCGATTATAGAGACAACATGAATCAGACACGATCAGCATGTCCCCTGCTGGTCTGCTCATTTTCTGCCCGTAACAAAATACTGGCTAGTTTCCTCTTTGTGTTGCAGATCTTATTATTAGTGGATTTCATTATTAATAGCTCCTAAGGCTTGGGAGGCTCTTTCAAGGCACATTATGCAAGGGATCCACATGGTCTACAGCAAAGGACCGCTCTACATTCATGCTCATACTTCTCTCAGGCTACTTGGTGTTGGGTTGTAATCCCTTTGTGTTACTGAGTGAAAAGCCTGCAGCCACACTCTTGGCTTCAGAAGAATGAACTGAGTGCTCCAATTTTTTCCTTGATTCGCTACCAGAAAGAAAGAAAAAGAGGGGAAAACCAACAAAATTGTATTATCTTCAAATCTGGCCTCAGTAGCTCCTGAGGATTTGGCTTTATGAAATGGCTCATAAAAGCCTTCCTTGCCATCATGCCCACTAACATCCTTTCGTCTCACACACTGATAAGGGCTTTATCTGAGTAATTTAAATTAGCTGATAATATGCCAACAAATAAGCTGCAGGATGCACCAGACAGCCAAGTGCCCTAGAAAAAGCAACATCCAAAGAACAGCTTCCAACTGCCTGAACAGACCTGGCTTCTTACTCCATCGGGGTTTCACCAGAGGTAAATGGGCTCCCACTGGAACTACTGAGGTTGACATCAGCTTGCAGGAGCAGGCACGTCATGCCAGGAATACCCAGGCCATGAACAGCTCACCACTGATATCCTCCACAAGCTATCACTGTAAGCCTCTGGAGATAGAGCTCCCCAGGCTCCAGCACAGCTCTGCACACTCAAGCACACAGGATTTAGAAACTCCTCATTGCCTCACATTAAAACAGATCAGGGCTGACTTTTCAGAACACAGACTGGATGGTGTGTAGCCCCTTTGCATCCATCCATCCATCCATCCATCCATCCATCTAGCCATCCATCCACAGCTGCTGCTATTATTATGACACAGAAAGTTTAAGTCAGGTTAAGGACATGTTCTTTTTCTTCCCCCAATCCAGTTACTTCTTACAAAATCCAGATGAGGCACCATGAATTTTTCCTTTGCCTTCCGGATGCTTGCGCTGTCTGGCACCTTTTGACAACTACCATCAATTATTGTGATACATGAATATAGGACCTTTCCTTTCCACAGCTGCATACAAGCAAACCAACACAAGGTTTTCTTTCTGCCACAGAAAACAGCAAGCTCAGCTATGAATGTCACCCTGTCCCTTGCCCCTAGTCAGCCACGGTGTCTTTCCTGTTGTCTCAGGGACAAGCTGAATTGACATCTCCTGCTAGGAGTCCATCTGCTCTTGTCTGGGGGTAACACTCCTGCCAAGGGAAAACAGCAGTGCAGGACCCACAGAACATACCCAGCCTTGGCACAAATGGAGCTGACAGCCCTGTGCTGAGGGAAGAGAGGGGATGACTGCAGACAGGACTGCAAATGCACCTGTATCTCCAGTAGCAAAGTAGTGTCCTCAACCCTAATAGCTCTTAGATATCCCAAAAATTAGATGTTAGCACACATCAGGAAAAGCTAATACAAAAGACCAAGAGAGATAGGGAGGGAGAGGAAGAAAAAAAGGGAGGGAAAAAGGAAAAAAGAAAAGGTGATGGTTTTGTTGTCTTGTGCTTTTTTTCCCCTCTCCCTGCTTTTCCCTTTAAAGCATACTCTCTATTTTGTTGTTTTCTGTAGGTTGCCTGCCAAGGTACCTGAACAGACACCAGCTGAGGATCACCTTGAAAGGCAAAAATCAGCCAGAGGAAGGGAGAAGGAAAACACAAGACACTGAATCTATCCAGAGAGAAAAGCAAGCTGCATGTATGCATGCGTGACATTCCAGAGCCACCACTTACCAGCTGGCAGCCCAGGTAGAACCTCACAGACCAGCTTGCTGCCTCCTGAAGGAAGCAGGAGCAGCCTGACATTTTCTTTGCAAGGCAAGTCCCTCAAAGCAGATAAAGCTGTTTCACTTGTCCTAGTAATATGCTTTGGGTTCCACCACCAGACCTCATGAGTTTCTTTAATATGATTGGGAAATATAGTACACCTGTCTTGAATTAAAGTAGATAGGTTTATCTCATTGCAGAGCCAACTCACAGATGGGTAGAGATCAGATCAGCTGTAAGAAATGCCTTTTATTCTGCAACTTGTTATTCACAGTAAGGTGAAAATGGCTTCAAAGGTGATCCCATACACTCTGAGGGATATCTTCTTTTATCTGATGTAGTTTATACAGGCCAAATTGGGTTTTGCTTCAAACATCTCTCTGCAGAAGAAAATCAATTTCAAGATATCGTGGCTGTGATCTTTCAAGCTAAGGGTCCATTGCGAATATACAAAGTGTTTGGCAATGCAAAGCTGCAGAGACAGGACAAGTAATGCCCATTACCAATATATGTGCTGTGTCCAGATCAAGGTTTCACTTTCAAAGCACTGAATAATCCATTGCCACTAGAACAATGGTTTTATTAATGGAAGTGAAAATATGCTGTGAGTACATAAGCAGATTCCTTTTAACCCTTACAGCATTCCAGGGCAGACAGACTCACTGGATCAGTTATCAGCCACAATAAGAAACCTGAGTGTGTTGACCTGAGTGCTGACCTGAGGACCTGCACCCTTGGAACAGGAGTTTTCTGATCAGATGATTTGTACTGTCCTTGGTTAGCTGCTGGTCTCACCTGAGCCACTGCATCAGCATCAGTGTCGTACCTCCACAGCTTATTGTGTGTCTCGTGAACCCACTGGCAGTGCTCTTCACCAGCTCATGTGACAGACTCTGCTTCCCACCACTGCCAGACCTCCAGGAAAGCTCCCTTTCACCCTAGCTTGTCCACAACCCTTCCCAGATCAACTCCCCAAGGATTAGTGATGCGGGGAAAGTAGCCTCAGGATGAGGATTAGAAGCACTCTCTCCCAGCACTGCATGTTCTTTTGGTTCTTGTGAAGTGATCATTGCTGTGTGTTCTTCTTGTCAGTGGCCTGTGGCGGCTAAACTCCAGTAAAACTCTCAAATAGTTTTGGCATAGCCCAAGAGGATCAGGGCTAATGTCAGTAATACCTTTGGATCAGGTTGTGACTGCATATAGACTTCGACTGCATTAAAACAATCATCTCTGCTAGAGAAAAGAGGCTGGGGTGATCCAGAAACTGTGAGCAGGATCAGAATTCATGAGAACTGCTCAAAGTGCTTTTAACACTGTTCCGCCTAAAACATTACAAACACAAGAATAGCGTTACACTACCAGGATGCTGACCACCATTAAAATAGGCTCAGACAGCTTCTCCAACGCTGGGAAAAGGAGGCATGGTGCTGTATCTGACTGCTGCAGAGACACAACCGTCAGGACAGGGTAGGAGAGTTGGGCTTGCTCATCCTGGAGAAGGCTCCAGAGAGACCTTGTAGCAGCCTCCCAATGCCTGAAGGGGGCCTGCAGGAAACCTGGAGAAGACTATTTACTAGGGCATTAAGTGACAGGACAAGGGGGAATAGCTTTAACCTGACAGAGGGGAGATTTAGATGAGACCTTAGGAAGAAATTCTTTATGTGGGTGAGGGTGCTGAGGCCCTGGCACAGGGTGCCCAGAGAAGCTGTAACTGCCCCATCCCTGGCAGTGTTCAAGGCCAGGCTGAACGGGGCTTGGAGCAAGCTGCTCTAGTGTAAGGTATCCCTACCCACGGCAGGGGATTAGAACTGGACGAGCTTTAAGGTCCCTTCCAACACAAACCATTATATGATCCTCTGCACAATAGATATATGGATTATTATGCATCTCCATGGTCATAGTTAGTTGGGACCAGGTAGTGCATGTTTAATACCTGATAAAAGCAGGGCTGCTCTGCAGAGGAGCAGCAGGAGCAGTGCAGAGTCATGTGTGTGCTGGTGTGTTCCCCCACACACCTGACCTTTATTTCCTGTAACTCTGCTCAAGCGATAACCATCAGTGGTGGTGGCAGTGGATGCCTGAGCTGTGATAGTTGCATCAGACCCAAAGTGGATTCGGGCAGACAGATAACAAGACAATAGCCAAGAGCTAATGACAGCAACACGCACCCTGCAATAACCATAGTCCCAGTCAAGGTCCAACTCAAGCCAAGTTTGGAGAAAACCCTAACTTCTATAGTCCATATTCAAACATGACTACAAGTCAATTATCTTACTCCATAAATAGTGAACAGCCCAGGGCCCATCAAGCTCTCCTGCACAGCAGTGGGCTGCACACGAGGATCTCTCCTTGAGTAGGGACACCTCTCCAGTTCACTCCTCAAGGCTGATATTCCTTGCTGCAACAGATCCTTGGTAAGTGATTATCAGCATGATAAACTTTGAAATCTTAGCTAAGTGACATAAAGGATTGATTGTTTCATATATAATTCTTTAGGCATAAACTGCTGACCAAATCTTAGACTAAGTCTGGATCTAACCACACGAAGACTCCTCTCTGAGAAGGAGTTTAGAACACAAGGGGGTCCTTTCTGAACCTCATGACTCAACAGGAGGATCTTCTTGACAGTTTTGCCTGACCATGTCCTCTATGCAGTAAATACTCAAGTGTACCTTACCATCAAATCTGCTAAATCACTGTTGCATTTACTAGCAAACTTTGTTAAATCACTGTTTTATATCAATAAATATATTGCTACTTCTGTTTTAAGAATGAAGTATGTCATTCCATCTGGGACAACATTCTCTTTTCAGTAAGAAAACTGAGGATCAGGTGGACTTTGCTCTGGTGCTGTGTTACAAACCTGACCCTGTGGTGTAGCTCTGAGTCACCAGGGCTAAAAGTGCAGCCCATGGCCAGGTCATTCTGCAGAGGGTCCTGCCACAGCGTTAAGGTGCTTTGTGTGCTCCCAGTGTCCTGGCAAAGGACTCCGTACTGCAGCATTGACAACTACTACCCTACAGCGAAAGCAGTCCTCTCCCTCACATAGGGTAAAACTAAGGAATTTTAAAACTAGTATCAGTAAATCATGTAAATTTGTTTACACTTCAGATCTCTTTTTCATCCTTCTCTTAAAAACACCCTAAACACATTCCTACTGATACACAGACTCCAAAGCCTTCCAACCTGGGAACAGTCCTGATTTTGCAGTGTCATTCGTTACATGTATCTGGTTGCATGCAAGCTTTCAATGCACCTTTTCCTCTTTTTCCTCCATAGTTTGTTGGTTTTACAATTGAGTTTAACCCTGTATAGTAGCAGCATCTTGTCTGGACACTTTTTTATGTAAATCACACTAAAACGAGAGACATCACTCATGATGGACACTCGATAGATTACTTGACCAGCACTTAGGCAAAACCCAGCCTTGAAACTCAGTCATGTTTTCTTTTGTACATTACAAGCAAGCAGCTTGGATTTCCTCAGTGCCCAGGTAATACCAGAGAAAACAAAACAGTCCCCTACACCACAAGAGCAGCATTCTTACCTGCAAATTCATACATTACTTTTTGCCAGCTCTAAGCTAAAATGCAGCTCAACTCAAACTTAATTAGACTCAGTTAGAGAAGTAGTAGCTTGTAACAGGTTTTTATTCTTACAGGGTTCTGAAGGCACTTCCAGTGAGTAACCGAACAATGGACATATGGAAAGCATCCATAAATCTGAGATAATTCCACTGGATTTCAGCCCTTATGTCTCAATGTAAGCTGGACATCCGTACAAGGCTTTCCTTAAACTCTTCAGCCACCTAAAGCAGCCATGTCATATTAAAACTGGAACTGGACTGATCATTCAGAATGAATTTAGCCAGAACATAAATGAGCTACGGTTTCTTCTGCTGTTTGTGTGTAACCTGCTTGATTTTGCTTCCTTTACCACTTCTACAAACAATTCTTGTCCATAGCTTTTCACTAAAGCTTGTAAGATTTGATACTTCAGCAGCACAGATCTTATTGCACAGTTCTGATCAGCATCCAAGCCAGCCTGTTAACACTATGGACCCTGGTTGGCTTAGGCAGCTAAGCCCCTACCCACTCCCTGCCAAACAGGAAGGAGGAAAGAATCACAAGGGCAAAAGTAAGGAAAACATAAAGACAGTTTAATAAATGAAGGAAAAGGAAAGGAAAAAAAACCCTAGCCTACTCTCTGGGGCATTAGACTGAGAGATAGAGAAGGCCTTGACATCGTGCAAGCAAAGCAGTAACTAAGACATTGTGTATTATTAAGAAGAAGGGATTAACACTCAGTTTGTCTTGAACTATAGTCCCCCCAGCCCCATTTTCCTCTTGCATCAACAGATAATCAAAGATCTTTGAATTCAGTTCCTATCTCTTTACTACAGAATTACTACATTGGAATGCGGTAAGCTGAGGTTCCAGTCACTGATGCTTTGTGTTGCTGTCTTATAGTACTGTGCTCTTACAGGAAGAAGATGAGCGTAAAATACCTGGAAATCACATAAGCAGCAAGGTAGACTTCCCCAGCGCAACTAGAACCAGATAGATTTGTTCCAAATGGAGCATGGATCTCCTCTGGGAGGGAAGGGGAAGGCTAAGGTGCATTTTGATTGTTTGGGGGGTTTTTTGCATAGCCTTGGCTGGCTTCTTAAAAGTTCTAGCCCTGAGTTTCTTGTTCTGAATCTAATTTTCCCAAGGCACAAGAAGTGACTTATCTGGAATTCATAAAGCTGTCACAAAGCTCAACAGCCAGGATTAGAACCATATTTTCTACTATCTTTTTCCTTCAAGTTAGTGCAAAATGTTACCAAAAAGCATTACTACCAAATGACACTAGGGCTTAAGAGGTATAGGCACAGGAGCCCATCTAGATACACCTGTCAATGTCATGTATATCTGCACAGCATGAAAATAGATGTCTAGGCAAGTAACAGATCCAAAGCAAGAAAGGGTTCATATGTCTGCAGCATATTTTAGTGTGTGAAATAAAGGTATGAGTTGGCTTTCAGCAGCAGTTAACCTTCCCCCTGATGTGATGCATGGTCTTTTTGCAGGGATGCTAAGCAGATTTGCTAAATGCCATATTGGGGCTAACTCTGGAGACCGCAGGTCCATTGCCTGCTTATATAAAGCTTCCCAGGAGTCAGGCTGATACCTTCAGGCTTCTCCGGACACATGGCTGATCCATAGGGTTAATTTCTTTTCTTGGACTATGAAATAAGCTGATGCGTGAGACACAATCACCAGCTTGCCCAGTGGCCACTGCTTCCTAGGTCTGTTAGGTACTTGATGGCTTTTGTGCCTGCAAGAGACTCAGCTGAATGATGCTGCTTTCTGGTAGGAGGCACCATGCCTGATGTCACCTTCCCCACTGCCTGCCTTCCACCGCCCCAGACAAGTTCACAGTGACCACCTTTAGCCCGTGTTTCTTGAATAGGAGGAGTTTGGTATAGCATTCGGGTTTCCCAAAAGAGAGCTGAAAAGCTGGTCAAACAGCTTCTTCCTGGAACACATCCCTGCAGGTCCCACACACACACGTGTCGTGAGGTAGCTGTTTCTGCTAAGGCAAGGAAGAGAAGTACCTGTTTAGAGAGCTTTGGCTGTCAGCAGAACTGCTATTGTCAGCTTTGGTGGAAAATAATAAAGCTAGGAAGGTGTGAGGTGCTGCTC